ATTGAATTTGTTTCAGCTTTAGTTGCGATCACGACCTACGTTGGAAAAAGGCAGGGCCGGATCGAGTTTTACGAGATGATATTCATTTTATTGTTTGGGTTATTTATTGGAGATTGGGTGGTAATAAAAATTGGGCTTTTAGGTGCGTGGTTGCCGAGGTTTTGTTCTTTGAGATGATTTATTCTCTTGAGCCATTATTGCAGAAAATATTTTTTATTCTAAGTAGAATTTACAGAAATTGTCAAAAACATTATCAGATAATGTAAATTTCACTAAATAATTTGCTTCTAATTTTAAAAATTTCTAAATAAATTTAAAAGTAGTTTTCTCGTTTTTATAAAATTAAGTCAAATAAAGCCAATACTTTGAAATTAATTGTACAAATTTTTGGAATTTAATCGGAAATTACTTAGAATTATTTTGAAGTATTTAGAGTTATTGAAATTATCTTTGAATTGTTTAAAATTACTGGAATTACTTGTGAATGACTGGAATTGCTTAAATAGATGAATTACTGGATTTTTTTTAGAATTATCAGAGCTACTTTGAGTACCATATTGATTACACTTACATGTGTAATTTCTTTTCAAAATTAAGTTGAATTTCTTAGAATTATTTAATTTGAAATTACATTAATTATTTTGGTGTTAGAGAAATTAAGTTGGAATTACTGGAATTAAGTTGGAACTGCAGAAATTAATTTGGAATTATAACAATTAATATGAAAAAAAAAAGGAATTCTGATGTATTATTGGAATTACTGTATTTTTTTAAATTACTACAATTTTGGAGGAATTTTTTGGAATTACTGGAATTTTTTTTGGAATTGAAATTAGTTGTACTCACTTTTTTCAAGTTAACGGCCCCTCAGTTAAAAATTAAATTTGCTTTTATTTGATCGATTCTACTTGGTGTTTGTTCTGTATTCCATTTTATTTGTTGTTTTGTAATTATTATATTTCTGTTAATTTTTCATCGATTTGCGGACTTGTGTGTGCAGAAAAGTGTTTGCCATCAAAAAAAAAGGTAAATAAAAGTGAAACTTTAAGGACACTTATACGAATAATTGCTTTTTAAAATTAAATTGAATTTCTTCTTAATTTGGAATTACAGAAATTATTTTGGAGTTACGAAAATTAAGTTAGAATTACAGAAATTAATTTGGAATTATAAAAATTAATCTGAAAAAAAATGAAATTCCCATGCATTAGTGGAAAAACTGTATTTTTTTGGTGGAATTTTTTGGAATTACTGAAATTTTGTGGATTTTTTTGGAATTAAAATTAGTTGTAGGTACTCATTTTTTTCAAGTTAACGGCCCCTTGGTAAAAACTAAATTTGTTTTTATTTTGTTCGATTCTACCTGGGGTTTATTCTGAATTCCATTTTATTTGTTGTTTTGTATTTTGAGAATATTATGTTTTTGTTAATTTTTTATCGATTTGCGTACTTGTGAGTGCAAAAAAGTGTTTGTTTTCTATCTAAAAGAAAAGGTAAATAAAAGTGAAACTTCAAGAACACTTATACGAATAATTTCTTTCTAAAATTAAGTTGAATTTCTTGAAACAATTTAATTTGGAATTACAGAAATTATTTCGGTGTTGTTAGAAATACAGAAATTAATTTGGAATTATAGGAATTAATCTGAAAAAAATGGAATTATAATGGATTATTGGAATTACTAGATTTTTTTTTGGAGTTACTGAAATTTTGGTGGTATTTTTTAGTTACTAAAATTTCGGTAGAATTTTTTTGGAATTTCAATTAGTTGTAGACATTTTTTTAAAGTTAACGGCTTTTCAAAGCCAACTTTTAGACATTTCGACTCAAAAAATGACAAAAACGCGAATTGTTAAGTTATTTGAATTTTTGAAAGTCATTATGAATAATTTTTTTATACTGGGCAAAAATGTCATTAGTGCGAATTTTCTTGTGGGTCCGGCCCTGGCAACAGAGGCGCGATTGGTAGCACAGAAGAGTCGATTGTTCGGCATTGCTCTGTAATCTGCGCGTTCTAATGGCATCATTACAGTACCTGACCACGTTGGTGGCCCATCAGTGCCCCCATCATCGATGATGCCATTTCGAATCGCCCCCAATCGATGATTTGAGAATTAATGAAAATTTTCACCACCACACATTAATTAATTTATTAATTATCCACCCCTCGCGCACTAAATATAAATCTATCAGCTCGCGCTGATCCAAGATTGGGTTATTTTGATTGATTGTAATTAGTTATAGGAAGTTTGTTTCTGATTCATGTCTAAAATCTACATGTTTTGCGGCCATATCTCGACTTTCGTCTTTTCGCTTTTCCTTGTCTTTGTCGGGGAAAGTCGGTGCGTGGGAGTGGGACGCCACTAGAGCTGTTTGGAGTAAAGTTGAGGGAAATACATTTTGTTGGTAAGTTTTGTTTTGCCTTAATACTTCCCAAGTTTAGTCATGCAGTGAATAACAAATTTGCGATTATGGAAAATATATTTTCTTACATCATTTCCGAGCTTATTGGATGGAGGCGTTAATTAGTTATTAAGGTTTTCGCTCCAAACACCAGACACACCTGAGTTTTTCCCCGGCGCCGATTGAAATTCGTTATTGTTGTAAAACGGCCGTAAAGATCATTATCGGCCAATTATTGATCAATAAAATCAGATTATTATACGAGGCAGACGATCTTTTATTAGCCTTTGTCTTGATTGGAAATTTAAGGGGGCGCATGTGAGACACAAACTGTCATAAACTGAGACCCACTTGAGCCAGGAATTAGGGCTTCAATGTCATTTCTTGATTTACTCGTTACGGAAAGGCTTACAATATGTCGTACACTCATCTCGGAATTAATTTCGCTCAAAAAGGTGGAAAAAATTGCCGAGGCCGAGTACTGATTTAATGACCGGTTTTATGAGTAAACATCGAAATTTTATTGGTTTTAGTGATGGGCAGGTAATTTGTCAACGGTTTTATCGACGAGTGGGATTATAATTTTACAGAGGATATTGACATCTCAAAGTCAAAGTTGAATAGGTGACCATAATGCAGCCATTAGGCTACCTGCCCGACCAGACAACAGTTAAAATCGCCATATTTGAAATTCAAATTTTGTTTTTTTTACTTTTTCCCAAATTATACAACGTAATTTCTGAATTTATTGTTTGGCATGCACTAAGTGCAGAATTTTACTTTTTTAACAAAGTGGGCTGTAATTTCACAATTAAGTTGGCAACACTGAATAAAATCTGTTTCCACATTAATCATTTTGTATCATGCTTTCAATTCAATTTCTGATCAAATCAACTAGTGATACTAAAATTGAGTTGGCAACATTGAAAAGCATAAGCATAAGAATTATGTGTTTTTCTCTATTTTATATACTGTTGCAAATTACATTTAAATTTAGTTTTCGATCAAAAGGATCTAAATGATTTTGAAGTTAAATTGGCAACATCAAAATATGTATCATAAACATTTTCAGAAACAGAGAGAAGAGGTTTTTTTTTCATATTGTATAACGCTATGTTTGCTATTTTGTTGGTTTTATTGCTTATATTGATTATACTTTCACTGAGTAGTGAATATTTTTTTTTATTAAAATAGGCTGTAATATTACAATTAAGTTGGCAGCACGGAATAAAGTAAAGACAGAAGAGTTTTTATATGTTGTCTCTTGTCTCTATTGATCAAATTTTTGATCAAATCAACTAGTGATTCTAAAATTGAGTTGGCAACATTGAAAAGTATAGAGTTAGAAAAAGTGTATTTTTGTTTTTAATTATTTAATGTTGCAATCTACAATTAAATTAAATTTTTCAACAAAATAATCCATGATTTTGAAGTTAAATTTAGAATATCAAAATATGTATTATAAATATTTTTTATTTCTTATTTAATTCAGTAACATTAAAAAACAGAATTTTTATTTGAATTGTATAACGCTGTTTTTTGATTTATTGCTTGAGCGCAAAATTTTAATTTTTTATTGAGCGCTAAATTTTATTTTTTTATCAAAGTATGCTGTAATATTAAAATTAAGTTGGCAGTGCTGAATAAAGTAAAGACAGAAGAGTTTTTATATGTTGTCTCTATTGTATCGTGCCTTTAATTAAATTTCTGATTAAATCAACTAGTGATTTTAAAATTGAGTTGGCAACATTGAAAAGTATATAGTCAGAAAAAGTATGTCTTTGTTTTTAATTATTTAATGTTGCAAACTACAATTAAATTAAATTTTTTAACAAAATATTCTATGATTTTGATGTTAAATTGGCAACATCAAAATATGTATCATAAACATTTTCTATTTCTTATTTCATTCAGTTAGATAAAAAATAAACAGAATTTTTTTGTATACCGCTATTTTTTTGTTTTATTGCTTTGGGTGCAAAATTTTAATTTTTTATTAAAGTGGGCAGTAATATTAAAATTAAACTGGCAACACAAGTAGACAGAAGAGTTTTTATTTCTTCAATGTTGTTTCTAATTATTTATATTGAATCATGTCTTTAATTAAATTTTTAATCAAATCAACTAGTGATTCTAAAATTGAATTGGCAACATTGAAAAATGTAAAGTCAGAAGAAATATATCTTTAGTTTTAATTATTCAATGTCGCAAACTACAATTAAATTAAATTTTTCATCAAAATAATCTGATTCTGAAGTCAAATTGGCAACATCAAAATGTGTGTCATAAACATTTTTTATTTCTAATTCAATTCAGAATTGAATATTATCGTGCTTTCAATCTGAACTGAAAAACTGAAAAATTAAGTTGGCAACATGGTATAGACAGAAGAATCATCTGTCTGTTACTTAATCTAAAATTAAATTAGAAAAATTGAAAAATCTAGAAACAGTAAGATTTTTATATTTTATTATACAATGTTGCCAATTTAATTTCAAAATTATATCTGTGTTATTTTAATTAGAACTTGATTTGAAGGTTAGCAGAGTAAAAAATATATCATTTTAGTAGAAATAAAATTTAATTAGATTATCTGGTAAGAAATAAATTAATTTCAAAATCGAAAACAATATATTTTGATACAAAAATTGTAATTAAAACATTAATTAGCAACAACAGCAATGGCAGTTATGCCCATGCCCATGATGACAATGCCTATGGTACCCATAACCGCGGCAATGGGCGTAATATGGCGGCGGTGGTGGTGGCGGTTGTGTATTAATTACGACACCTAAATAAAATCACAATTAATTAATTCAAAAGTGAGGTATGTGACTTACCATATGTTGGTATTTGAATCGGTGGTTGATGGTGGCCGTTATGGTGGACAGCATGGGCTACATTTTCGATGAGATGGGACACTAACCCATGATCATGGTGGTGGCCATGGTGGTGATGGTGGTGATGGTGATGGTGTGGCATTTCTGACAGAAAACTGAATATGAGTAAAATTTGTCAAATGGTGGCTTTTTATCTAATTTGGGATGATTCACTGATAATAGATTGATTTATCACAGATTTTGAGTGGTTCCAAATAATCTGATAACAATAAGTGGATTCATTGTTTAATTTTTCTTTTTAACTGCTTTAACTAAATTATAAAAATTTTTGCTTAAACTGTTTCGTAGGCGTCTTAACGATCTGTATAAATTTAGCAAATAATTAGGAATAGATAATAAAATAACTTATAACTAAAACACTGACATTTTTCTATAATTTTAAATTCCCATATTTGAATTCATTGTCTAACTGTTGTTTGACCAATAAAATAAATTTTTAATGACATTAAAGCAACTTTAATAACCTTTCCATTTATCAATTTGTCATAAATTAATTTGCATTCGAAGTAAAATTGACCCCACTTTTGTTTAATTCGAATATTTTATCATAAATTTGGAAAGAAAATATTTATTCCTCCGTGTAAAGTCCACATTTTTCGTCGTTTCGATTAATTCTTGTGTACAAAATATAAAAGAGAGTGAAACCCTCGCCAACGCCTTGCATTGTTAAAAACCATAAATTACTTTTACTATTTATTAATAAAACTCTATTTTAACGACGTGCGGCCAACATTATTTGGTATTTACAGCCTAAGAAGTGTGATAAGAGAAGTTTATGGAGGGTTTATGTGCACCGTACTTGGGAGTTATCATAATTTACTTACTAAGAAATTTATTAATAGTTCATTTATAAGTTTTATTGTACGCTCACTTAGGTTTTTAACCTGTTTATCGTTTGATAAAAAACGTAAATAGATAAAAGTCACGGAAAGGTATAACAATTTTATCGAATTTGTGAAGAAAATTTAAAACGTGCGTGATTCAACAATGTTTTGAAAATATTTTCAATTTAGACGGTTCGAGGGGTGACAGGATGAAGGGACAAGGACAAGGACTAAGGACTAATTATAGATATGGTTATTTATGAGGGCTGTCGAAACAGCGACATGCAAGGACTTGCTATATTTAACGATTTGCTGATAAGAAATTAAACAGGATTTACAATTAAAGAAAAAATAACTGTTTGTGATTTTTTTACACTTATTTATTAGGGTAAATCCGGGAGAAAAGGACCAGCGGGAGAGATGGACTTTGGAACTTAGAACCCTTCTAAGGCTCCATCTCTCACAGCAAAATGTTAATCTTAATGTTTCTTCTTGAAAAACATGTCAATAAAAAGTTAGAGTCCAGTATTTCCAAACACTTTATTTACCGATAAAATTAATAAAGTATTTAGTTATTTTTTGCGGATAGTAAAACTTGAAACACTCTGTATGTCATTGTATTTATTTATAATAATTTTTCGGCATTGGAGTTAAACATATTTTTAATTTGCTTCTGTTTTTGTGTAGTAAATTTCCCTCAATATTTTTTTCTTTAATTTATTTGAAATTTTTGAATTTTTCTATTTATTCATTTTTTGTTAATTCAATACAATGTTTTCTTTTTTTTTTGTTTTTTTTTATAATCTGTCTTAATGTTTATGGTATCAGAAAAAACATTCGTGGTTTAAACTGAAATAAAGATCATAATTCTATAGTAGGTTTTTTAAAATGTATTTGGTCTCTTCTTTACTTACCCTATAAATATACATTTTTCTATTACTTTGTCAGCTTTTTAGTATAGTAGGAACAAAAAACGCGTTTTTTTAAGACCACAAATTTTTTGTTTTTTTAACAAGCTTTTAATTATTTTTAATCTGTATGTCTCTGTATGTATTTATTAATAATTTTTTGCTATCAGAGTCAATCATATTTTTAATTTGTTTTTTTTTTCTTTAATCTTTTTGAAATTTCTAACTTCTATATTTTTTTTTTGTATTTAAAACAATGCGTTTTGCATTTTGTTTTTTTTCTAAGTTGTCTTAAAGTTCATGCTATGAGAAAAATATTCTTGGTTTAAATTCAATTAAAGATTATAATTTTTGAGAGGTTTATCAAAATGTGATCAATCTCTCCTGGACTTAACCTACATAAAAACAATTCTTTTACTTTGCCAGCTTTTAGTACGGATTCAAAAATAGTGTTTTAAGACTAGAAAAATACAAATTTTTGTAATTTATTAAAGTTTTAATGTTTAAAATATAGAATTTAGAGTCCAGTATTCTCAAACACTTCAGTTACTAATAAAATTATTAGACTTAAGGTGAATGCATGTATTTATTAATAATTTTTTGCTACTGGAGTTAAACATATTTCTAATTTGCTTCTTTTTCTGTCTGCTGAATTTCTCTTAATATATTTTTTCTTAAATATATTTAAAATTCTTAAATTCTATTATTTTTTTTATTTTTTTTTTTATAAGTTGTCTTAAAGTTTATGCTACGAGAAGAAATATTCTTGGTTTAAATTGAAATAAAGATCGTGGTTTTAAAGCAGATTTATTAAAATGTGGTCTATCTCCCGAACTTACCCTACATAATTTTTTCTTTCCTTTGTCAATTTTAATTTCAAATTTTTCTTAATATTTTTTTTCTTAAATCTGTTGAAATTCTTAAATTCTATTTTTTATTTTGTATTTAAAACAATGTATTTTGTATTTTGTTTCTTTCATAAGTTGTCTTTAAGGCCATTATATGAGAAAAAATATTGTTGGCTTAAATTGAAATGAAAATCATGATTTTTCCGCAAGTTTAATTTCTAATTTGCTTCTTTTTCTGTTTGGTAAATTTCTGATAATATATTGTTTCTTAAATCTATTTAAAATTTTAAAATTCTATAATTCTTTTATTTTGTTTCTTTTATAAGTTGTCTTAAAGTTCATGGTACGAGAAGAATATTCTTAGATTAAATTGAAATAAAAATCATGATTTTAAAGCAGGTTTATTAAAATGTGGTCTACTCGTTTCTATCCCGGACTTACCCTACATAATTTTTTCTTTACTTTGTCAATTTTTTAGTACAGTAGAATTCAAAAAAATACAGTGTTTTAAGACTAGAAAACTACATATTTTTTGTTTTTTTTTTGCAAGGTTTTTTCTTTAAAATATGGAATTAGACGTTAGAGTCCTAAATACAACAGTTACCGATAAAATTAATAAAGTTAAGATGAATACTTCAAACTAGTTTTTTCTTAAATCTGTTTGAAATTCCTAAATTCTTTTTTTTTGTATTTAAAACAATGTAATTTGTATTTTGTTTTATTTATAAGTCTATGCTATCAAAATGTGATCTAACTCTGGACTTAACCTACATAAGTTTTTTTTTACTTTGTCACCTTTTAGTACGGCAAGATTCAAAAAATAGTGTTTTAAGACTGGAAAACAACAAATTGTTTTTATCAAACTTCTAACGGTTAAAATATAAAATTTCGAGCCGAGGCGAAGCTGAGGCTCGACGTTAGTCTCACATTTCCAAATACTCCACTTACCGAAAAAATTAATTAACTTAAGATGAATTCGACAAAGTAGTTATTTTTAAGTTGTAACAGTCTCTATGTAGATAAATATATTCTTAATTGTCAAGTTTTATTTATAATTTTTTTGCTCTACTTTTAGTTGCGATTTAGTGTGAGTTTTGCGAGATTTGTTTGTAAGTTTGTGTAAAAACACAATGGCGCAATATTTGAAAGATAATTAATCGGAGAAATGCCCGAGGAGTCGTCTCTTGCATATTCATAACATGTTTATCAAACTTATATTATCTTTAACTTTAGTTAGTCTACCGTATGGATGATGGTAACATCTATATAGCTCTGAAATCGTGAAAAGTTGGTATCGCGCGAGAGGGAAGACTTGAACAGTTCGAAGAGTCGAGACAAAAAGAGATACCGAGTGTTCTCCGTGCATCCATCTGCTTACTGTGGAAATATTAATATATGCAAAATACGAATATCTGCTTTTGAGAATCTGCAATGCTCCGGGTTACACTCAAATGAGAAAATAATTCTTTGCTTTGTTAATTTCAACAGCACTATCGCAACTATATTAGCAAAAAGGGGAATTTCTTCTTGTTGGCAGGTGTCCTGTGACAGAAAGCCGGTCTTATGTTTGCGCTAATTCCGAATTTAAGCTCACAATATGAACCTATACGTGATGCATTGTAGATGATTAATTAACGGGGGTGGATGCGGGAGACGAGGACCAGTAGCTTGCCTAAAGGATAACTAATGATTTGTAAAGACGATGTTCGTGTCTAAAGCCCTAACGTCCCTGTTATGTTCTTTATTATTATGTTTATTAATAATCCCTCAGACTTTCGTTTAATACACGGTTAAAACCCGGATTAAATTATGGTCCACAAGAAATTCGCACCCGAAATTCGATAATTGCCTCAGTTTTATAAAGCAATTAGCGGACTAATCAGCGGACGAGTTTGTATACGGGCTCTTAATAAAATATCAATTAGTGTATCGGGCAATCTATAATTACTGTAATTGGTATTGATGAGAGTTCAATTAGTGGCGGATTAATATAGCCGTCTCTCTCGCACCCATCAAGTCGGAGAAGGAGAGAGCAAGTGGACGGTAGCAGGAATTCGATTCTGTGGAGTTTTTCGCCGCGGGCGTTTCGATTCCAGTTCTTGATAATTTATATCAACAATTGGTCATATAGTTAATAAATGTTTCGCTTGAATTAATTTTTACGTTTTTCGACGGCTTTTTTTCGATTCGGGACGTGGTAATTTGTTTGTGGCAGCAATTCCCAGAATGTGAGCCAATAAATAAGTCGTTAATTCGGCGACTGCTGCACACAAACGAATTTATCGACGACGTTAACGCGAGGAAGAGGAAAAATTGATAAAAGCCAAATGGAAAAGTTCGTAAACTGACGAATCAATGAGTTAAAGATGGGCAAAGAGGGAATTTTTCATTCAAATGGCATAGTTTTTGAGTCTATGGAACCTTTTTTGAAAAATTAAATAAAAAAGTCCAAAACAAAAAAAAAGAAATAGTTTTGTTACAAATGGGTACGTAATGATTATTTTTAGGTACGTTTTAGAATAGTATATTATTCAA